GCTTCACACATTGTGCCCATGTGGGGATTCGAACCCGGGTCTTCGGTGTGACGAGCCAGCGCTTAACCATTAGGCTACCCCACCGCCCCAGAGGTTATCAGAACATAATCATCCTGTTCTTCCAGAAACCAGACCAAAAGGGAAAATATTGACAGAATGCAAATATTCTTGCAAGACATCTTCCAACCACCAATCTAAAAAGAATAGAACTACAGATTGCAATTTAATCCAAAGCATATTCAACATAGGAACTAGTATAAGTATTTTTATCACATAAATCAGCTGACACAAGTTACAGTCCAGTTACAGGAACTAGTGGTTCATAGTCAGAATACTACATAGACAAGCCAAGCACTGCTCACACATGGGTAAAAGTAGAAAATTATGTCTTTGAAAATTAAATAAAGATGTATATGATGTCAAAGTAAACTAATCAAAATGAACAAGAAATAATACTCACATACATACTTCCATACGAAAACAAAACTCATTTCTATTTATTTCCAATGTTCACAGTTCTTCAACATGGGCTTAGCAACACAATGTCCTTGACCGGAGACATTGAACGATTGAAGCTCTGACATCACGCGGCCACCGAGGCTTTCAAGGTAGAAAAAAATACTTTGCAGGAACATACTCGATACCCAACGTAGACCAGTGATCCAAGTTAAAAAGGTGTACATCAAAACTAAATTGTCCGCAAAGTAAATGCAGGGTTCCATATAAGGTGCACCACTACCCTCTAAAAGTACACTGTCTGGTTAAAACCAATGCATGAAAATACAAGAAAAAATGAAAACATAACAGTGAACTGGTAGCAGACCCAAAGAAGCCTATATTTCTTGATAGAATTTAATTGAATGCAAGCATCTAATCTGCATAAAATTGATTTAGCTGTAGTGAAAAATACACAACTTATTACATGAAACTGCATTTTGAGCAAAATTTTCAAATTATCATTATTCAAGAAAGGTATGATATAAATTCCGAAAGAAAATAATGAATACCCAATTCCATTAAATGATAAAATGTCAGTACACAATGGCTAAAAAAAAGTCCATAAATTTTTATTTTTTTTGTATGTCAAGCAGCCTTGTTTCCAAATGGTAATAAAACAAATTCATTGCATATATTATCTGTTGAAAAAGTAAATGAAAACAATTAGATCATACAGGAAAGTAGAAGTAACAAAGTCTGTGCCAATATGTGCAGGGTGTTGTTCAACAGCTGTCGTGAAGCTAACAATTATCGAGAAATATATTGTTCCGATGCATTGACCTAACAAATACTGAAATAGCTTTGAGGAAAATGTTTTTTGCCGAGGTTAATGTTACAGGGCTGCAAGTGGGGCTGGGGTGGCTGATATTGAAATCACAATGAAATTGTGATCAGCTCAATCGGCATTGTTATGAATAGCCTAAACACAATTCCATAATTTCAACATCTAGTGACAGAACATACTAACAGGCAGCATGGCTGTATGATCCCTAGGGAGTTGAAAAAGAATTGGTAAGTACGATAGTGTCCTGTGACTGGGGATAGTAATGTACATAGCACCATGAGCAGGCAATGTGCCTGGATATGAGCGCCATATAAGTGGACTATTACTATTATATCAATGTTCACGAATAGCGTCTGACCCTCTGACAAAGCCAACGACAGAAGTCTACAGCCTGCCGTCCCCAGTGTCTGACTGTATATTTCACAATGACTTTGACTGAAGTTGTTTTATGTGACATGTGACACTTGTTTGCTGTATATAAATTTTATGTTTGTTAATACATAAATCTTATGTTTGTTAATACATAAATCTTATGTTTGTTAATAATTTCAATGTCAATTATAAGAAATATTAAATCTGAAATGTGTGTTTAATTTTATTCCATGGGTCCTGTGCATTTTCAATGGGTCAGACAGACATCTGAAACTTATAGGACCCATTGTCCTGTGACTTTGAAACACCATTCGTGAACACTGTTAAATGTCAGAAGTACATGTATTATGTTTTCTTTGAAGCGGAGAATGTTGCTTGTTTTTTATGTATCCACATGGCAAAAAGCAAAGAGTGATGTTAAAAATAGATTGACCATAAGATTATTGAAACAGTTTTAACAATAGTATCACTGAAGTTCAGCTAGCAGATAATCTTGATGTGTAACACGACCATCAATAAAATCAAAATACAACATACATTTGAACTAATTACCTAACATTTAGACAGTTCATGTTCCTTATATACCTTGCCAATGAGTGAGTGAGTGAGTGAGTTTAGTTTAATGCCTCACTCAGCAATATTCCAGCTATATGGTGGCGACCTTGCTATGAAAGTGACTTGATGAATGGCTATTCACTTAGGACCAAAGATTGATTCAGCTAAAGCATCACTCCAATCAAGCCATTTGACCAAAATCTGACAACAATCTTAATTTTTGACAACAAAAAATGACAAACCCATAAACCATGTTGTTTCTCTTAAACTCAGGGCTCCAGATAAGGGCCGCATTGGCGTATGTACAGATATAAAATATGCACGATACGGTAGGAAATAATTTAGAAAACATAGCAGATACGCACCACAGCAATGCTGCACGGTCATAGAATCATTTACAGACGTATTTATCTGAAAAAATATTGTTTTATTATTTATTCACCTTTTTACACAAAGAGTAGCTATGTTGTGGTGCATATATGAAACGAAACACAAGATTACTGATCCGCCATTAATTCCATTCAGTACTCAAAATGTAGTCTTAGGTTTTCCAGTACTCCTATATTGAAAAAATAAGCAGTGCGTACCCCTGATGTTGAAAATTATCTGGAGCCCTGTAAACTATTCATAAAATGCCAGATATTGACAACTCACTAGTCACATACAAAGCTGTCTTAAAACACAACTGCCCTAAAAGTACTAGCATCATGCAATCTGATCACTCTTCCTACATTTGATGACGACCCTATAAGATTAAGAATATATTTTATTTTATGGGTGCTTTCTTCAAATCTGACCAGTTGCCGATTTCAAACAAATTCATCAAAAACACATAGTCAAATAATAGGTTTCTGCCAAATGTGGCACACAGCAACTATTGAAATCATTGAAACAACATTCAGTTGTAGCCTCAGAAGAACACAAAAAATGCAATATTTTTAAAGGTATGTCACACATATTCGACAATAATTTGGCCTATATTATATTGGGACATATGCCCTCACTTTAGCTATCTATTGACGCAATAAAAGATTTATTATCCCTTACAACTTGCCTGAAATCGATAACTGACATTTTGAGGTGAACACGTTCCAAACAGATAACACCTGCCATATATGGAATGTACACAATTGCTATGTGCATTTAAAGACTGTCACATGCAGTGTTGACGGTGTTTGCCGAATGGTTTCAATCACAAGTTGTGTGTAGGATATTCGTAAAGAGACATAACTCCAAGGGACATAACTCTATGGGGTTCACTTGTACGTACTTTTTCCATTATGGGACATCAGTGATGTAAAACATGATCACCAATTGCGTGCCATCCTCCTTATATTAGCTTCTTGCATCATATACACATTCATTTTGTTAACAAAAACAGTTTCATCATTCAATGAGGCAAAATTCAATTTCCACAATATCAATGTAAGTTGTCAATCAGACCTCAAAACATTTGTTCCGACATACCTATATCCTGGACATTCTGATGCACAGCATTCGGTTACACAACTATTCAGCACTGATGATATTGTATGTAACCACCAACGTGCTACATGTCAAAATGCGCAAGTGACCCATGAAGTAATTATTCCACAAGACATTTCTTCCAAGCAAGCATATTATTAGACAGGTCAACAAGTTCATATAATGACGAAGTACAGTACTAACTTATATATAAGATTACCAATCACACCTTGATCGAAACAGGCCACTAGCAAGCAGGAGAAGTATACAAAGCACAAAGAGAGGTGTGTGCATGTGATCGGAGTCAACACCAGGACAAGTCCCTTAGAAAACTTGATGTATGCTGTTATTTGAATGTAAATCAAATACATGCATCGTTTCAACCTGAATGTCATGCAATGTTAGGAAATAAAAGGGAAACAAGAAGCAAATGCCAAACCATACAGGTATTATAAAACTATTTTCAGTGTCCATTCTTAACACTAATTGAATGCAACAAATTTGCAGGCAAACATTAGGAAAAGAAATAAAAACATGCAAACATGAAAGTAAACTCACCCAAGAACTTAGGACCAGACAGAAGTAAAATCAAAGCTGCCTCATCATAAGACATGAAAGCTGCCAGCGTACTCAAACAAGACATGTCTTTTGTCAAAAAAAATAAAATAAATCAACCAAGCTTTACATGAATTTGATAACAGGAAAGCACCAGCTAAGCAATAACTGGCGTAATCACTGCAATATTCAAAGAGTGACGGACACCCAGCGGGAAATTCACACCAACACAACCCGCTGTAGCAGCACACGACGCAGGCAGGGAGACACGGGGAGCACTAGTCCCTCCTCAACACAGGGAGTATATCGCACATATACATTTTACACCCCTTGGAACATTTGCTGTTACATAATGATTCTGGAAGTTTAATATTTCAATGAAATGAACAAGATTAACAGATATTCATTACCGCATGTGTGCAAATGATCATATGCATTTATTTGATGATGAATTGCATTGTTCCAAGTATTATCAATCAGACGGTAGTTTCCCCCAGCGATAATGTACCTACCGATCAGATATCAAAAGATTAAAATGTTTGTGTGATCATAAATGAAATCAATGCTTTTTTGTGTGTCAAAACTGTGCAAGGTCAACAGTGCAGCAAATATAATTTCAACAGAACACACAGTTGAAAAAGCAGGTTTCTGCACTAAAATACTACTGCAATTTAGGGTTCTTATTCAGGTAAAAAGCACACTTAGGCAATGTAACAATTCATTTAACAATGCTAATTGCTATGCTAAAAATGAACAGTGAGCATAAACTTACCTGTTTTCCATCCACTTCAATATCTGCTACATAATTTTCAAAAACAGTTGGCACATAAACTTCAGGGAACTGATCTTTACTGAAGACGATGAGAAGACATGTTTTACCGCAGGCACCATCCCCAACTATTACTAGCTTCTTTCTTATAGCAGCCATGGCTAGTTACTTCCTGAAAGAAATAAAACATTACCATGAGTACTGGTAAACATGACATTGTGCACAATGATCTTCTGGGAAACAACTGGTGATGCACCAGTTGTTTAGATATAAGCGATCTTTGCACATCTGGTAGGACTAAAAGTTCGCTGTAAATACTTAACCGCACAGTGGTTAATGGGGATGGCAGGTTTAAATATCCAAAGACATTGAATGTAAATGCATGGCAGGCAATAGAGAATCCTTTCAAATAATAACCTTTCTTGTGCAAGACTGCAACCGAACTCCAGATTTCAATGCAAGCAGTATGCAGATCACATTATGTACATCACTCTATATACCAAAATGTGCTGTGATATTTATAGACATGCTAAAGTTAGAACAGAAACGTTTCTAATAAAAGATATGAGTCACTATCGTCCACAGAAACTACAAAATGCTTGTGTCCAATCATATGCTTAACAGAAGGGTGGGGTCCTAATGAGATGACAGTTTGCGACCTTATTGACTTTGCCAGAAGATAAGCCACAGTGTAAGCCATATTGGCATAGTATTCACTAAATGAACGTAAAGCAAGAAGTACAGTACATGCAGTATTTAAGAAAGACAGGATTAATCTGTAAACTATCTTGATCGTACGACACGAGGAAAGAGGTCGAACTGCTTTGTTTCCGTTGCTCGTGGTGTGAATATTTTAGAATCCATATGCCTCAATCTCACGCACAATATATAATCTCAGTGAAATCCTAAAATTCTCAATGATACGTCGTATGGATTTATCCGTGGTGTGGCAAATGACCAAATAGACAAGAAAATGTTTCAGACTGCCGGTCCTCCCTGGCTGATGATGTCATCAACATGGCGATTTGTTCAAACAGTCATGTATCGTTCAATTTGAGCGCCATTTTGTCAGTAGATAGAACCATAATTGAGAATGAATTTGCTCCAACGTGTCAATAATACCATAAAGACCTTCCGTGAAACGTGCAAAACTTACTAGATCCCGCAATTCTCCTGAAAATTAAGATAGAGGTACCAGGTTAGCCCAATGCAGTATTACCATAAATGGCGTTTGCTCATTATCCGCCGATAGCAAATTTTCAAGTCAAATAAATCTAATATGGATACATCGATACAATACAAAACATGTCTGAAGATAAGAAAACACATGCAAGTCCAAATACCTGAGGAAAATCCCCGTTTTGGAGGTTATTTTGATGCGATATTGTCGTTTTCCCGATCGTGATACATCAACGGTCAACCACACCTCAATTGACGCTAGAGGGGGATAGTGCAATTGCTTCTGGAATTTGTTGTGACGTAGTTCCGGTACTATATGCTTTCACTTCCGGATCAGCTGTCGACTGAACAAGAAGTAAATAAAATGCAAGCTTGTTTACATCAGCCAATACCGTGACATTATTAGGATATCCATGTGATCATGTCATCTTTTGGTGTATGAGGTAAACACGTCTGATCAAATTAATTTGTTAAATTGCAACACATTTGGATATTAATTTAGCCATACAGTCCTCGGTATCACAGAGCTCGTCTATCTTTAGACTTGACATGGGATGGATTTCATGCCATTAGACAATACCATGTGAACATTTCCATATAGTATCCCTTCCATGAAAATTGATATATACTTGCATTTAGACATTGTGACTCGTTGGTTTTATGTATCAGTCTTCAACTGACAGAGGGCTAAAGGTATAGATCAGTATTCATTCAGAAATATATTAAACCTCCTACTTTAGTGTTTTTTAACAGTTTCATAGTGGTTTAACATGACAATCCACATAAAATGTGCATCGTATGCGTTTATGTATAGTCTTCAAGAAAACAAGTCAAAGTCTTCAAAATAATTTCGATACAGAATTTACAGCTGGTAGCACTATTAGACCAAATAGAAAAAGTGTTAATTTTCATGAAGCATGCCGTGGATGAGAGAATGCAGGGCTTTGAATGCCCCTGATGTTACTCACTGAGGCTACAATGCAGTGGAACATTTTTGTTGCCCTCTATTCTTCCCAATAGCTTTTTGTACACATAGATACAAATTACACATTATATATCCTGCCATGATGTAACATGTTCAGTTATCTTTTCTTAGTTTGAACTTCAGTTGCTGGCCCAAGATCAGATGGTTTGGAGGAGTTACATTCCATACCAAGACACTCAAGATTCAAGGTAAATGTGCTTTTTGAAGTGGGCATGTTTCCAAACAGAGACAGACAATCAAGAAAGACCTGATTCTCAAAAAAAGACTAAAACTCAAAATGGCAGAAGCATCGAGAAGTGCAGTATGTGTGTTTGGTTTTGGAGTTAGGAACAGAATAAAGAAGTTATCTTCCTGGAGACAGGACACTCTATGATATAGTGACAAGTATTACAGTATGCTGTCATCCTGAGTGAATACCTGGATAGAAGAGTCCCCAGCAATTCAGGCTTGTCATACAAGGTGACAAAGGGCATCAGGCACTGTGACTTGGTTGAGTGAATGTCAGTTTACCTCAACACAGTCCTGGTAGCCAAGTGGTGATGCCGAAGACCTGGGTTCGATTCCCCACATGAGTACAATGTGTGAAGTCCATTTCTGGTGTCCTCCGCCGTGATATTGCTGGAATATTGTTAAAATTAAAAGCTGCATAAAACCATACTCACTCAACACAGTCCAATGGTTTACTGTTGTCATAGGGTTGGCTGGCACCCACTGTTGTCATGTGGTTGGTTGGCATCCACTGTTGTCATAGGGTTGGTTAGCATCCACTGTTGTCATAGGGTTGGTTGGCATCCACTGTTGTCATAGGGTTTGTTGGCATCCACTGTTGTCATAGGGTTGGTTGACATCCACTGTTGTCATGTGGTTGGTTAGCATCCACTGTTGTCATAGGGTTGGTTGGCATCCACTGTTGTCATAGGGTTTGTTGGCATCCACTGTTGTCATAGGGTTGGCTGGCATCCACTGTTGTCATGGGGTTGGTTGGCATCCACTGTTGTCATAGGGTTGGTTGGCATCCACTGTTGTCATAGGGTTTGTTGGCATCCACTGTTGTCATAGGGTTGGTTAGCATCCACTGCTGTCATGTGGTTGGTTAGCATCCACTGTTGTCATGTGGTTGGTTAGCATCCACTGTTGTCATGTGGTTTGTTGGCATCCACTGTTGTCATGTGGTTGGTTGGCATCCACTGTTGTCATGTGGTTGGTTAGCATCCACTGTTGTCATGTGGTTGGTTGGCATCAACGGTTGTCATGTGGATGGTTGGCATCCACTGTTGTCATGTGGTTGGTTGACATCCACTGTTGTCATAGGGTTGGTTGGCATCCACTGTTGTCATGTGGTTGGTTAGCATCCACTGTTGTCATGTGGTTTGTTGGCATCCATTGTTGTCATGTGGTTGGCATACTGCATCCCACTGTTGTCATGTGGTTGGTTAGCATCCACTGTTGTCATGGTGGTTGGTTGGCATCCACTGTTGTCATGTGGTTGGTTAGCATCCACTGTTGTCATGTGGTTTGTTGGCATCCATTGTTGTCATGTGGTTGGGTAGCATCCACTGTTGTCATGTGGTTGGTTAGCATCCACTGCTGTCATGTGGTTGGTTAGCATCCACTGCTGTCATGTGGTTGGCAGATTCATCCATTTTGGTATGTTTGTTGTCTTCAACCACTGTCATAAGATTTGTAGGTATCTACAATGTTTGGTAACAGTCTGTTTAAGGCCCAACATGTATATTTAAACATTTCATGCATCAAGACCAAGACTGAATTTGATAACCTGAAAGTTTCCGAGGAACATATTCATGATGTTTGAACACTTACCATTATTTTCCAGTTTACCTAGAAACAGCAATGAACTGACAGTGGTTATATTTGTAATATCTTCCTGTAGAAATAGTTATCTCCCTTAGACAGTAGCTGTCTGCTGCTAACAAAATCACGTGAGTGCGTGAGTTAGTTTAGGTTTACGCTGCACTTAGTAAATATTCCAAATATAATCGAGTCTGGACCAGACAATCTAGTGATCAACAACAAAGTCACGGTAGGGGACACCAGGCAGAAACTCTGCTGCATACCTTGTACCCATGTGTGGATCTGAACCCGGATATTTAGTGTCACACACAAATGCTTGAACCACGCACCTGTCAACAGCACCTACATTTTGTGAAAACATCACATTATGAAATTTTGTGAGATCTAACATATCTCCCTATCCTTGTGATGAACAGTGGGACAGCTGTGGTGTGCCTGTGGTAGCTGTCCTGGGTTACCTCCCTTATCCATATCAGACAATTATGTAAAACTGAGTGTTCAATCATGTATGATTATATATCTAGGTTGTCAAATCTCTTTATTCCATTACTGAAGAGGCCACAGGCCTATAGTACAAAATATAAAAACAATAATGGCATACAATCACAATGTTTGCAAACGTTATTTTCTTTGTTCAAAAGCATGGTGGATATACATACCAAGTTTACGAATGTAACTTGTATTATTAGAGTTCATTATCAAATTAAATTTAAACATGGTAGGAAGTGAATAGTAATATTGTGGTAGATATTTTGTCCTTAAATCAGCATAGTAAGGACATACCCATGCTCATTAATTTCACCAAACATGGTAAAAATAAGACACCTGTGTCATATTGACAGCTCCTGAGTGAAGCCAACATACCATGATGAACTGAAATGCTGTTTTCTCTCTCACTCACTCACTCACTCACTCACTCACTCACTCACTCACTCACTCACTCACTCACTCACTCACTTACTCACTCACTCACTCACTCACTCACATCTCTACCATCTTTCATCTGCAGGCAGTAGCAATGGATCCAGGGTACATTCTGTGGGAAGCTGTCCGAACCAATGATGCTGATACAATCAAGCTGCTCCTCAAACCCGCAACTGATACAAACACAAACTGTGCTAAAAGCACCCTTGATTATGTTCATGAAGGCTTGTGTCCAATCCATCTGGCTATCATCAATGGAAACGTTGAACTCCTGCAACTGCTGCTGTCGTCTGGTGTCTCCTTGAGCAAGTTTCAGATCAGACATGCCCTGTCATACATATCACATGAAACCAGACTCAATGACAAACTCATCGACAAGTTGTCACTAGATACAAAGTTCCCCATTTTGTGTCTTCCTCTAATAACCAACGACCCCCACATCCTGAGTGAGCTTCTGAAGCACGGTCCCACTCTTTGTAGTGATGACAAAGGGGAGGTGTTGGGCGTCGCCTGTGTCCTGAGACGGCTGCCATTACTGCATATTCTATTAGAGGTAGGAGGATCGGTGTATCTAGAACGTTGTGAAGCATACGAGCAGTTTAGGCAGCAGTCACTTCTCCTCTTTGCTGTAGAGGACCCAGTTAATTATGAACTTGTGAAATTATTACTGGACAGAAATGTATCACTTGCTGGCCGAGATAAGGATGGGAACACTCCTGTACATGTTGCGGCAAAGTACGGAAGTGCGGATGTGGTGAAACTGCTCCTGGAGGCACTGTGGACGAAGAGAGAGTCGGTGTGCTGCGTCAACTCCAACACACACTCCCCATTCCACATTGCCTGTCACCGCGGACACCTTGGCGTGTTGAAGATTCTCATGGAGCATAAGTGTATGCGGCGATGTCACCCTCAGGGACGGAAGTATCTCCTCCATTCCGCAGCGAAGGCGGGGCAGGCTCACGTCGTCCAATACCTGCTGGATCTGGGACAGGACGTGAACCAGCTGGACAACTTCGGTAGGTGATGTTTAAGCACAGACACAATATAACTAGTGTTTCACCCAGGATCAAAAACAGACGGGGGCAACAGAATTTCGAAAGGCACACCTTATTCCAAAATGGGCATGCAATTCCAAATTTCCAAGTACATGTACATATATTCTGTTAATTTTTTTATGCATACGATTCTCAATGGCTCTAAGAGCACAGTTATTTCACTAAACTTCAACATGAAAAACCAAGTGTTATTAATATTATCAATTATTGTATAAAAAGAAGGGGAGGGCGCTGTGCCCTGCTAAAATTGTCTAGGGGAAACACTAGGAATATTAACGCATATACTTTATTTGTAAATAAAAGAAATGTATATGATTTTCCTATTTCCTTTGTAAACCCAGGTGCTTTGCAAAAGTTGTTCAATGCCAGCTTAGATTTGTGTTTGGGCTGCATGTTACCAGGATTTTTTTATTTTATATTATATTCATAATACATTGGCATGTTTTGTGTAATATATTGCCATTATTTTGTGAGTCATGTAGAAGTAAACAAGTGAATTAGTTTTGACAGAGTTGATGTGGCACCAGAGTTGATGTGGCACCAGAGCTACACTTTCACTGCTGTTACCTGAATTAAAGGTCACATGCAACGCAAAACACAACTTTGCAGATTCTGATACCAGGTACCTTTCAGTATGGACTTACAGTAACAAATTATGAAAAATGCAAATTCAACTTATAAAGTTGACAAATAATGCGATGAAAATCCTCCCTGCGAAATCAGAGTTCAAACAATTCACTAATTTCACCCCAGCTCTGGGGTGAAAAGTGGTTTCAACAGCTGTGCTGCTCTGCACCAATAGCGCATGCGCAGTGATTAGGTTCGAGCAGCTAGAACCGGGATGGTGACTCGTAAAAACACAGCAAGTGATGCGTGAAAGGATAATCGCTGTGGTCGAAGTTGGAGAACAAATGATGTATCTTGTGATTACAAGCATCTTGGGTCTGCAGTAATAAAAATACACTGGTCCCATACTTTTTCTTATATGTTTTCACATCTTGCTTTTTGGGGGTTGGCATATTTGCAAACCAAGTTTTCAAGAAAGTGTAGCATTAGAAAAACTAATTTCTTTGTTTAAAATTGCTCAGCTTGAAAACTGAAATGTTTTAATACATGTCTATGGAAACAGAGAAAAATATGTTGATTGTCATAAGCAGTCTCTGTCACAGACAAAACTCAATGTCTGTTTTATTGACACCCATGTGTCTGCCTGCCTGTCTGCTAATGACAACATGCAATACACAACTTCAATCATTGACCACATGCAATTTGAACTTGAAACGTATCAGGCTATACACCATAAACAAAATACATTGATTTATGGCTCGTGCACCCGAGTTCTGTCTCTGTCACATTATGTAATTACACAGACAGGCAGGTGTGATACTTGTACACATGACATGTTATTATGTCTGTGGGTTGCAAACAAACAGCATCCTTTTTTCTCGGATGACTGGATCGGACGGAAACCGGTGCAAACTCAGATTGTCAGTTTCAAGTCCTGCTTTGTACTTGAATGAACGACAGTTTCCACCCACACGGTAGTTCACCATCTCAGTATTTGTTGATTGGATCGAATGCAAATGCAGAAAAAATGAGCATGTATTTACAAAACCCAGCATCTCTATATATACACACACAATGAGCCCTCAGCGTATCGGCAAATGAACCAGCCAATGAAAGATTTTGTTACACTTGAGTGCACACCCACCCGCTCTGACTAAGTTCGGCCTCCCGATTGCTTTGTTTCAATGGAAGTAAACCCACGTACCAAATATTGCACTTTTGATTTGCGATTGTCGCTTATAATTTTGTTTTATTTGTTTTTTCATAATCAGCAATGTATATTACATGTCATGAATAAGTGATAATTGTGTTTTAATTATGTTTGTTTTTTGGGTTGCATGTGACCTTTAACAATTGTCTTGACAAAAGGTGAGAGAGGCAGGAGTGAATGAATGAATAGCTGATTTATTTATTTGTAACCAATGGATTACAGCTTGTGATGTTATCCATCAGCGAATTAAAGAAAGAAGCATTAAAGATAAGCCTTAATCATGTTGATGGATCTGTTTTTCGCACAGTTGTATAAATCAAAACTATTTTTGATCTGTATTATGATTGTAGCATATACAGATCATAAAGAAATATATTCATACTCTCTGTATATCAGTTTGGTCTTCTTGCAGCAAACACACCCCTGTCTCAGGCAGTAGTAAAGGCGAACAACATTGAGATCACAAGATTGCTACTGACGCCGGCGCCAATCCAAACATCCCCCAGCCACCCTACTACAGCATTATTATCTCCGCTGCACAGAAGAGCTCTGTCGAACTCGTCACTGCTCTCTTACAAAGTGAGTGACTGTTTCAATCATTTTTGCCTGACTGCCAACTTTAACAAGTTGTTTGGAGCTCATGTCATGGTTCTTTGACTGATTGTGTGTCTGTTCATCCAACTTGTTGTTTGTCATGGTTCTTTGTCTGTTCATCCATCTTTTTGCACTGAAAAAAGGGTTTTCCTTAAAAAAATATTGAAGGTTGCTCTCTGTTGCTTATAGGGGAATATTATTACTACTGACTTCATGGCTATTGACATTTTGTATTTTGTTCGGAACTGCTATCAGTTTTACCATACTGCCATTGAACTGCTGTCCCTCTATCTGGCACTGACGTTGTGATGACTTTGCAGTAATTTGTGTTCAGTCGTAAACTTAGTTGATGTCATGATCACACAATGCCATTTAGAAAGTGGCAACAGAAATACTACACAATTACAATTGTTTTAAAACATCAACTAACACAACATATGTTATTTTGGGGATTACACTTTCTCAGTAAAGTACAAATTTTAGTACTTTGGGGGGTTGAGTCCCATCCGGGATTCTAACCCACACCCTCAGAGTCAGTGGCTGAGCGGGTTAGGTGGCTGACTTTGTGTACTGGTGATTTGGTGCCGGACTCTGAGGGTGTGGGTTCGAATCCCGAATGGGACTCAACCCCAAAAAGTACTAGAATTTCTACTCTGTTGAGAAAGTGTAATCCCAAATATAACATATGTTGCGTTAGTTGATGTTTTAAAACAATTGTAATTGTTTAGTATTTCTGTTTGTTGGTTTCAAATCTTTTGTGTACAGAGTTTGTAGTAAACTGTTTGTTTCAATTTTGAAATCAACACATAACATTAATGCCAATTTCATCTTCTCACTCATCAGTGGACATATTGCTTGTGAGTGTAGATAAGGGCCATGCTTACACTGCACAGAACCAAAATGGCATCTGTGACAGATGGCAGAAACAGGATGTGTGAAAGTAGTAGAGCATAAATGTCTACCTTATGGACTTTGTTACTGTAAGAGTTGTCATACTTTGAAGAGGGCATAGGGGACGGAACTATATTAAGGTTCTGCTATGTAGAGTTACATCCCTTGGGCATGTCAAGCATCCCTGTTTCCCTGGATTATGTCAGTACCATAACCATGCTAGTGGATTTCATGTGGAGAAATGTCATGTACATTCAGTTCAGCTTTTCTCCCACAACTGGTTAACACGCAGTGATATGACTGAAATACTGAAAAGTTCTGTATGTGTCACAGATGGTGCCAGTGTCAACAGTGTGGATATCCTCGGCTATGCTCCAATCAGCTATGTGTCTGCAAGACGAGACTCGCCTGAAGGTAAATCATCGACTTTACTAATTTGTTTATGAACATTCACTTATACAGTTGGTACCATAGACAGACACTGTTGTTAACATACTGATACAGCGTGTCGCCATATTCCAAAACGCTTGGTGACGTAAACTGACACAGTGTTAACATACTGATACAGTTAACATATACTTACTTTTGTTAACATACACTTTGATACTTTGTTGGTTATTTCATTTTCCTTTTTCCTTTTTCTTTGTCACATATGTTTTTGTGTTATTCATGCTCCAAGTTATTATGCCAAGTTATTTTTGGGTTGTGTCGTACCTCATATAATCGAAGTAGTTATGTATGCCCCTTCATAGGCAGATCCAGAGGAGGGGTGCAGGGGTGCGCTACCCCCCGTTTTGCCCTGAAAGTTTATTAAATGACTATTGAAACTCTGGTGAAAATGAAGTGTGCACCCCTCCTTTGCTCAATAGTGTGCACCTCTCTCTCTCTCTCCACCCCCACCCCCTTTCTAAAAAGCTGTATCCGCCCCTGCCCTTCATCTTGGACACAACAGTGTTTGACTGTACACTGGTTCAGTTGACATCTACTGCTACACAAAAACCTACCAATACACCCAATACTTACTAGGGCTCAAATAACTGTTTACCAGGATGAGTAACTACTGGTTTATTTTGTCCAAGAATTCATCAAAATCCTGGCCAAGTTTGGAGCCAAAGTGGACCATAGGCACGGTGATGGGAGTACATCACTACACCGAGCTTGTGCAGATGACAATCTTCCAGCTTTAACTAGTTTGATCCAGCATCAAGCTGACATCTCCAGTCGGAACCGGATTGGGAAACAACCTATGCACTTTGCAGTATCTGAAGGTACGGAATGGGATGCATGGATGCATGATTGGCTGGCATCTGGATCAGCATGCATCTGTGGGAATGTTCATCTTTACCATCAGTAATCAGTCCTTCAGTTGCTGGCGATCTGTACCATGTTGTTATGTTGTGTTGTCCTGAATAGTGGCATCATTTTAAAGTTACATACTAGTTTGACTGACTGACTGACTGAGTTTGGTTTTACGCTGCTTTTAGCAATATTCCAGGCACATCACGGCGGGGGACACCAGAAATGGGCTTCACACATTGTGCCCATGTGGGGATTCGAACCCGGTCTTCGGCGTGACGAGCCAACGCTTTAACCATTAGGCTACCCCACCGCCCCCATTCTAGTTTGAAATCTCTGTGATTTTCTAGTTGTTTTATTTCCTCTGTTGAAAGATTTTATGATATAATGTTATATATTATCAGGGTATGATCTGGTTTAGTCACAGAATACCTGAAATATTGCCGATGTGTCTATAAATCTTAACTCACACATTCTGTATGATAATGTTAGTATTTGTTACGAGAGATATAGAACAAGCTTTTATGCCAGATTTCACAGGTTGAGGGTCTGTAAGGAAGCCTAGTGGCTACAGCAGGTGCTCCTCGTGGCTGATGCCTGGGAGCAATTCCCAACATGGGTACAGTGTGTATTGCCTGGTGTCTCCCCACCATGTCACTGAGGATTGTTTAAAGCGACATTAAACCATAATCCTCATTCTTTTATGGGATGATCTTTAGTTTAAAAATATTGTGTTGGAAGGAATGCTAAATATGACCGTGGTGGAAATTTTGATACATGTACATCCAGCGTTTTATCTGGATTGAAAAGTATAGCCCTGTTCCAGAAAGTGAGAAACTGTATTCTGTTCCAATCTGTATTCTGTTGCTATCAGGGAAGTCTGTACATCATCAAGTCTTGTCAAAACAAACAAACAACACAATGATGACCTCGTTCCACAAGGCAAATGTAGCACTACTGTTGTCGTAAGTTTATGGGAGATATTCCACTAAGCGATCATACCGCTGAAGTGATCGTAACTCCCATATTTTAGGATTGATTGGCATTGCTGTATGATGGCATTGTGGAACTGGGCCCCAATCCTCCATGTAGTGATTATTTCTGACAGAAGTCTGCTGGTATATTTCCAGAGAGTGCCAGGATTCTACTAGACAATGGTGCTGAACTGGATGTGGAGGATGAGATCGGCTACACGCCCCTGATGAGTGCATGTCGACACAAGAATATTGTTGTTGCCCGTTTCCTCATCCGGCAAGGAGCCAACATCAACAAGACTACTGTCAATGGTGTTTCTCCTCTTGCTCTTGCGATAGGCCATGGTAAGATTCAACCACGAGAGACCTCTTTTACTCTTTCTCTCTCCCACTCTCTCCCTCCCCCTCTCATCCTCCCTCCTCCCACTTTTCTCTTTCCCCCCCCTCTCTCTCTCTCTCTCTCTCTCTCTCTTTGAAGTAATACAATGAATTGCATCAGAGTGACTTGCAGATCATTGTGACATTACAATTAAAAAAAATGATGACCTAACCAAGCTGTCTCAAAAACTGGTTAGCTGCATATTTAACTCATTAAACTTTGGGTTGACAATTAAATTCTCACATTCTCATCTTTTGATATCATTTTTATCAACACTAATCAATAAAATTTTAAAACATGCCTTGAACAGGTGAAATTCTTTACGTCCTCACATCTACATTTTCAAAATGTCGTCACATACCCTTGTGTTTCAGATTTGACATCCCTTGTCCGTGAGCTGGTCCTAGCAGATGTAAAAAACATCAACACACCCGTGTTTGGACATTTCAGCAACATGTTAGAGCTGGCGCTGTGTCTTGAGTCGAACCCAGCAATCTGTGATATCCTGCATGCTGCCGGCACCTACCTCCGACACACGTTCTCCGAAGTGTCCCCGGAACTGTGTCCTCAGGATTACTTGAACATCCCCCATTGTCTCGGTGTCTACAAGCCCTATGTTTCACTCAGTCTCAATGGGATGTCGTGGGCCGAGTTCCTCGCTGAGCTCAACATGAAACTGGACATTGATAAATACAGAAGTCCACTTTCACTGCAGCTGCGATGTGGCCAGTTCCTCAGGTGGCATTTCAGTAATGATTGTCGGGAGATCCGTCGGCTGCCTCTGCCAGAGACCATTATTAATGGAGTGCTGTTACTGGCATGATGTTGTCACACTTGTAGCCAGGGCCTGCCAAGCGCACAAATACACCTAAGCTGGACAATGTCTACCACACACATCACAGTGGTCTCTTTAAGTGCGGAATTGGTTTAAAGGGAATCCTCTTTATAGGGAGGTACGGGTGTCCCGTGGTTGTTTCCTAGATATAGGGTGGAACAGGTGCTTTGTGATTGTTGTCATCTCCTTATGATCAGGAGGTAAATGTTGGCCTGTGGTCTTCTCCTTATGATCAGGAGGTAAATGTGGGCCTGTGGTCATCTCCTTATGATCAGGAGTTAAATGTGGGCCTGTGGTCATCTCCTTATGATCAGGAGGTAAATGGGGGCCTATGGTCATCTCCTTATGATCAGGAGGTAAATGTTGGCCCATGGTCATCTTATGATCAGGAGGTAAATGTTGGCCAGTGGTCATCTTATGATCAGGAGGTAAATGTTGGCCTATGGTCATCTTATGATCAGGAGGTAAATGTGGGCCTGTGGTCATCTCCTTATGATCAGGAAGTAAATGTGGGCCTGTGGTCATCTCCTTATGATCAGGAAGTAAATGTGGGCCTGTGGTCATCTTATGATCAGGAGATAAATGTGGGCCTATGGTCATCTCCTTATGATCAGGAGGTAAATGTGGCCCTGTTAATATGGCCTTGTAATCCTACATTCAGGAGTCAGTGTCAGCCAATGGTTGCCTACTTTGGTTATCTCAGCCAGATATGATTTTGAATTGACATTGAGCCAATGATAATAGGAATTAGTTATGTTCACACAGAAAGAACCCTTCCATAGAAATATCATGATACATTTTTACAACTTAATATAAAACAGTTGTTAGTTGTGTGTCTACGATGGTAATGGTCTACAAGACTAAACCAACCATACGTGTGTGTGTCTATATGTGTGTGTGTGTTGGATTAGGGGCGGTGGGGTAGCCTAGTGGTTAAAGCGTTGGCTCGTCATGCCGAAGACCCGGGTTCGATTCCCCACATGGGCACAATGTGTTAAGCCCATTTCTGGTGTCCCCCGCCGTGATATTGCTGGAATATTGCTAAAAGCGGCGTAAAACTAAACTCAGTCAGTCAGTCTGTCAGTTTGTTGGATTAAGCACTTCATGTTTCTGTTTGGGTGTGAGAATGACCATAGCTTGTGAATGTCAAGGTGTCCATCCCATATAAAGTATACTTTTTGTTTTGGAAATATTTACCTTCCAAGGTAATTTGTGATATGTAACGTAGCATAGAGCAGATGTTGTGATACGTGTCATATCACAGGTCGAGTGTTCCCCTCACAACTAATGTCAAGTAGGGCAGCTTTTGTTGTGATCTACAATATATAGCCTTCACTTATGGACTGTACTTTATTACAGAACTCAGTTTTCAGTAAATTAGAGAGTCAAGCATATTTTAACAATAGATGGAACAAGAATCTGTATCGAAAGGTCACACACAGCAATAAGAGAAGTTGTTATCCATATAGTTTGTGAATATTGAACCATCCTATCATATACAATACAAATCATATGTGAAACCAATCATATATGAAACCAATCATATATGAAACCAATCATACAATACCAATCATATATGAAACCAATCATATACAATACCAATCATATATGAAACCAATCATATACAATACCAATCATATATGAAACCAATCCTATATGAAACCAACCATATATGAAACCAACCATATATGAAACCAATCATATATGAAACCAACCATATATGAAACCAATCATATATGAAACCAATCATATATAAACCAATGTTAGAAACAATGCAATATACTGTGAACCATATGATCCAGGGTACCAACCAGTAGTGATACTCTACCAATGAAACCAATCATATATTTGTTAATGTAGTCCACACCAGTAGTGATACTGTCCAATCATATATAAAAGTGTTAGCAATGCAAGTGAAAATGTCCAGAGTACCAATGAAGGTTTGTTAATGTAGTCCGACACCAGTAGTGATACTGTCCACACTTCATCTGTATTCACCCATTATTGTAACAACAGTCTTTGGGCAATTACTTTTGTCATCTCTTAATGTGTATGGTCTACACAATCTTAGCCCTTTAATGATCATAACTCTTAGTTAAGACTAAAGAGTGGATTAGTTTATAAACCTTTACCTCGTGTCTTCTTCGTGTAATGGCCCATATAAACAAGAAGTTGTTTTCTGGATAGGAATAGCTGTGTGCACTATATACCTGACAATGTAACTTTTTTCTGACTCAGATTGCAGTGGGCTGTGGGGTAGCCTCATGGTTAAAGCATTCACAGGTCATGCTGACATTGTATATGGTGCAATGTACAGTGAATGTATATGGGAACAGTTCTGTGCCCTGATATTACGGGAATATTGCTAGAAGCAGTGTATTATCATTTATAACCCACTCACAACTTGTTATTCACATTTGTAGGATGACACTCTTAGATACCAGTGTGCAATATACTACTCACACTTTGATAAGGATCACAAAAATTCATGACTTTACTTAAACGCAGATTTATCATTTGAAATTGTATCCATTTAAAACTGGATAAATAAAAATAAAATAACCCCTCTTTAGGCAGACAGCCACTGTATTCTAACCTTATGCACTTGATACATGAGTAACCATAAAAATGGTTTTCATGGCACCAATCAACCATTTTGCAAATCATGGAATGCGTCATAGACAAGTACACAACACCTGTCAACAGCAGGTATGGGATCCACAAGATGCAGTGACATACTGAAACCTAGGAACCATGCTTACAATAAGCTTAGATATTTAAACCAAATTAGACCCCACATCATAGTTTTCTGATGAATCTATGATTTGATCCTTAGCAAAGTGTGAATAGTATATGTCCGGTCAGTGGTCAGTGACGGTAAATACCCTTGTCCCATTCACAATAACACATTCATTTTGAGACTCAAATTACACAATGCTGAAACTTGTCCAGTCATATTACCCTCATGAATTTCTCTGCTTGGAGATAAAAAGGATGGAGTTTGTAATGTCACTTCCAAAAAGAAGCTATGATTTCACTGGGTCCAGGATATTTATCGTAATGGAATCAAGATAAAATATACTGGATAAGTGAAGATGGTCATATACATGTATTGATATATGTGTACTGTTTATGTGTTTGTTTCACTCTTTATCTAGCACATTTATTTATTTTATTGTATATTTGTCAGATACACAGGTTTTGGTAATGGACATTAATGAATGATCATGTATTTGTCTACAATAAAACCTTGTACATTTGTTTGTTGTTGCATACAATACAGTGCAATATTCCACTTATATCTTGGTGGGTATGTCCTAACAAGATAATCTGGTGACTGGTAACAGGGCAACGATAAATGCCATCAGGGTGCAAAGACATGCCATTAGCCAAGTCAGTGACCCGGACCACCCAGTCGATAATGCTGCCCTGAAGACAGGCATAGATCTCAGGGGCCTTGTTCTAACCTACAATCGCAGCTGGGTCCATATCTATTATTTATTTATTTATGTAAAGGGGAGGGTTATCTTCACTTCGAGTCAGTTGAACCCTGTGTACACCCACATGCTCCACACTTGATGGCTGGAAGTAATGCAACAAATTAAGGAGAATCATCCAAGGGATTGCAAGACCACTAAGTGCCCTATAGCTTGTGGAACAGACACCAGGTGTTTTACCATACATCATGGTGTTGAGGACAAGGTGATCAGGGATAAGAGTGAACAAGGTGATCGACTCACTTTGACATCCTCGATAATCTCCAGGGTATACATTTCAACAAATATCCACAAGTACCCTAGTACCCTGGATGCATTATAGCTCAGCAATAATTGTATTACCTCCCCTTGCTGTCTTTTTATCCAATCAGGTGTCTACGCTGGGAAGTTGAGTGCACCAATCACAAGGCTTCTATCATAACTCACTTTCGCTTCTTTTATCTAACCAAATAACCTTAGCAACACAATTGTTGCAGAGGTACTCTGAAAGAGGTAGGAGTCCTTGCATATATTTTTTTAAGGTCTCGGACCTGTCAATTATTTTCTGTATGGTTTTTCCCCAAAATCTAAGTTGTGCACAGTGACCACAACTTCGCGGTTGCAGCTGCCATCTTTGTTGACACTAGCAAGCTCAGTTGTAACAGCTTATATGATTGGCTACTGTGAGAAGGTGGAGCCAGCAAAGGGAGGTAATACAATTATCAGGCCAGGTTATTATCAGGTTTCCAGTAGAGATTTATCGGAAAGTATAACCTGGAAATAATCGAGGATGTCACTTTGCATAATATGATCCATATTGCTCAAAATACAGAAGAGGACTCGGGAATCATTGCTCTTTACCAGTCAATAATCCCATCCATGTACCCTTGTGTAAGTGTATGAAGTTAGATGTAAACGATGTCACCCAAATGTAACAGCCAGTGATGAGGCCATATGTAGATCTATATGAATGCAGCTTGATGTGACTGAGTGACAAGTGCTCTTGCAAGTGAAGAAGCATTTAGTCTTTTTAAAAGAAATGTGCAACACAATGGAAAATAAATATATTTTAATTCACTCACAGTCTTAAACAAATTAATAACTAGTAAATGGGTCACTGCTTGGACCTTGATATTTATTACATTTTTCTTATCCTCAATGAGCAAGAAAGCAGGCAGGCAGTAAATAATAAAAAAATGTTTTTGAATGAGTAGCTTGTGAAATATGAAATATTTACGATTTGGTATTAGTCTTTAAATTAATTTATGATGTAGATTGCTTCTGAAGCAAAAGGACTCGATCTTTAAATGGATGTAAATGAAGAAATATGAAGGTGAGCTGTTTCCTCATTTCACATCCGAATAAAAAAAAAAGGGCAAGTGGGAGATGAAAACAACACCTACAGCCTCGTGATAATAATATCAAATCTGTATGTATGACAACATCTTATAATAAAGAGGGTAAAACACATTCTAGAAATATGGAGATATCAAAATGCTTCTTTGTAGGTAAATATGATGTAATGTCATCTTTGCACATACCAAGACTAAAAACACACATAATCCGGAGGAATACTATATTTACATACAACCCTACAATATCATAGTACCAGATTGTCACAGAGAATACATTCACTTTGCTTTGCTGTGAATTAAATGCTGCACTCAGCAAAATCTCAACTGACCGTGGTCTGTAAACAATCAAGCCCGGACCAGGCAACAGAGAGACTGAAATCACATGCAGCCATCTGCTCAATATTGGGATACAATGACTTGCAATGATGACTTGACTGACATTGTGCCCTCGTTCCCGGACATCGAAGTCTATGATCATTATATCAATCACATGTCAGGTTCATGATTCATCACAGCAGAGGTGTGGTATTGCTTATTGCAGCAGGAAAACCATTCTGTACCTAACTCACGAACGCCTTTGACTACACATGAAAAATAGTTTTGTCTTTGTGAATGATTGTTACATGTATGTTACAGCCTTTGTACATGTATGTTACAGCCTCTGAACATACTGGTGAGCATGTGGTTTAAAACAACAAACATGAAAAATGTGTATAGTAAAAGAATCAGTAACAGCATGACTTAGATTATTGATGACAATGTTCATACTCCGCATCAAAAAATAAATAGTATCCTTCAAGGCAAACATCCCAAACATTTAAAAATTATATTATTGTGAACAATATGGCACTCAACTTGACAGTACAATATACAAACACAACAGATTATAACAATAGAACAATGGTTTTATCTATCACATGATTGTACATGAAAGTTCCAGACTCAGGCCTGTTTCAAGATTCTGCATGACGATAAGTCCCTAGAAACCTATTCTGATCGAAAGACGTGACTTAGTGGATTGGCAGGTCATCTCTTTGTTTATTTGTTATCATTATTCAATGGAATGAATAATCACTCACAATATCGGCCACTGGATTATTTGATTATTAAGGGAAGCATTACGTACATGGAATATTGCCGTCTCTTACGTCTGCACAGTTGGCAAATGTTCTCCTGGCAACTAACCACCATATATGTTAAGGTAAACTCTTCAGAGTGTTATTTCTAATTATTTTATTCCACAAAAACCACACGTATCAAGAAAAGACTAAAACAAGTAATAACAACAATAAAGTGTTAATGGTGAAGTTAGAACCAGTGTCCGTGTACTGTGTCTTCAGTTTCCTTCCTGGATCAGTCCACACTGAGGTATTCGTCTTTACCCAGCACTGTAACCTCCCCATGTCGAAGTGTAATAAACTCTGCCGGATCTAGACTCTTCTCTTTTAATTCCTCCTTGAGCTTTTCTCGAGGTTCCAAATAAGGCTGCAATATGTGCATAGATAGGCTGGAGACAATGATTTTATCAGGTATTTAGGAAATAGAGTTTGCTTAACCTGCAGCTACAGTGAAATAGATATAGACATGCTCTGAGCTACTCAAGAACTAGTGCTTGAACATGCTTGAATGACTGATTTGCCTTTAAAATAGTTCAGGGCAAACAGTCATTTTTCATTACCCTTTCCGGCATGGGTGGTGAGGGTGAATGTGCCCCAGTGTATACAGCTTACCTTGCTCGTGAGGGTGAATGTGCCCCATTGTATACAGCTTACCTCGTTAGTGAGAGTGAATGTGCCCCAATGTATTCCAACAGACATTCTGGACTGGATATCCTCATGGATTTGAACTGACTCTTTGGGATTCACATGTTGTGGGTGCATAAACCATCTGTAATAGTATCAACATTGACAGGAAATCAACATGAGAAATGTCAACTGAGTTGTAATTATTGAACAGTGCCCCATAGTAACACTACATGTATGTGTGCCCTACTGTAACACCTTGCCTACAACATCTCAAAGTTTAGAAGTGATAAATGGAAACATGAAAAGCTAACAAGAGTCATCAGAAGATGACAAATCCCCCCGGCCCCCATAAATTTGAAAGAACAAATCAAGTGACAGTTACTTAAAGTCCAGCTTGATTTTTTTTACTAAGTCCACATCGTTTCCATGGAAACCAAGAAAAATAAAAATGTTAAAAACCTGCAAATAGCAAAAGGCACCTCTTTAGGTTCTCTTTGATATATCTACCAATTATTGTTGAAAAATATTGAAAGGTTTTTGAGTTATGCTCCCAAAAAAAATGATTACGGACGGACAGACAAAGCGTCAACTATATCGACCCGCATTACATGCCAGGGGGGATAAAAAGTGATAAATAGAAATTTTAACTTTTTCTACATTGTATACTCAACCCAATATTACTACTCTCTCTCACCTTGGTTCATAGGCGCCAATTGGGATAGCAGCGAGTGAAAACGGACCATACTTGTGTCCTATCTGTTTGAACACTTCACAGTACCCTGTGTCTCCCCCAAAGAAGAATCGATGCCTTGGACCAATCACAGACCAGCTGCCCCACAGCGTCTGAAAGACATCACATGACAGTTGACCTTAAACTGCGATCCCACTTTAGCAAGTGATGACAGCATTACATCACTGCCACAAGATAATTTGCATATCACGTGACCAGACATTTCTGTTGTTTGAAAACAGCCTCGCTTATTCTGAAATCAGAAGAGACTCACCAAGTGCAAACCTTTAGGTCGACGATTCACAGTGTTTTGTATATATATACTGTGAATTGTCACTGCACTGTATACAATTTCATTAGGGAACTGATCCAGTTTACAATCACTTCATTCAATCAAGTCAAGTGACCATTTAGGATATCATTCGGTATGGATTATCAAACATTTGGGTGCGAGTCTGCAAAAACATTTGGGTAGAAATATGTTGCTATGCAACTGTACCAATGAAGTCTCTTGATATGTGAAAATGAAGACTGGTGATGCATCCATACCCATGGAGATTGGAGATTTGTAACCTAATATGCGAATCCATACCCAAGGAAAATGGCTAACTCGTACCTAAAATTCTTGTCCGATTCATATCTGTTTTGGAGCAATCGTACCTTGTTAGGTCAACCTATACCCAATATTTGTACCCAAGGAGAACATCCAGGTCTCCACAACATCTCAGTCACAGAATTTCATTAGGTCACTGACCAAGTTTAGAATTCAAACAATCACTTCAAATAATATATCATTTCATATGCTTGAAAACGGTATAAAACCTATACCGAAACGTCGCTATTGTTAAAAAAAGAAGTTGATCATCCATAAAGTTGTGTCATCTCTATACCAGCAACTTCTAAAATGCCACTCAAACAAATGAAATTTCAGAGTAAGTCCACTAAAACAGTTTGAGCCTAATCACCATGGATACGGATTTCCCAGTTTCCCCTTTTTCCAAGTGTATAGTGTCGATCTCATGATACAGAATCTATAGGCCTACCTTGAAGTCATCTGTTGGCGTTCTCTTGCTCCAGTGTTGACACGGAGTACAGACAAACTTGACAGTTTCGCCGTCAGCTGCATGGTGTTCAACCTCCTGCCACCAGTCCAGCTCCTGCACATTCTTACAACCAGTTGACACCATCCACTGCTTCAATCCCAGCGGGACATACCAGCATAGCGAATCTCCAAACTTCTTGTTCAATGCCACGACTGAGTTGTAGTCCAGGTGATCGTAATGATTGTGACTTATCACTACAGCATCAACCTTAGGCAGATCCTCTACGGTGCATGGCGGCTTACGATACCGCTTGTTTCCAAAGAACCACTGAGTTGGTGAGCATCTGTTGCTGAAGATGGGGTCAGTGAGGACTGTGACTCCATCGAACTGCACCAGCACCGTGGCATGGCCGACCCACATTGTGCACACTCCAGTATCAGGCGATTTATCAAATTTACTAAAGTCTGGTTTCAGGACAGGAAGCTCCTTATCAAGGACCTACAAAACAAAACATGTGGTCAGAACACCCCAACACCATGTGCAGACATCATATAATCTGGACAACTAATAACATATTTTATTAATTTACGGAATACAAAGCTTTGTTTACAAAGCTTAGAAGGTTGAAACATAACAAACACTGATAAAGCATTGCTCAATATTCATGTCTATCATCATTGTTTATTTAGTTTTAAATAAAGTAGTTTGCGACGACTGACTGAGTAAAACAGCTGGCTAAACTGACCAATAATTGTCGATGGAAATCATTATTAACAATTATCGAATATGAAAATTATGTAATTGATAATAAATGAACAAATGTGATGAAATAATTTTCATTCAAGGACTGCTCCTAAAGTCTGAAATATGTTCAGGACTATTTATCTATATTCATTTACCGATGATCGATCTCTATAATCTATATTGATAGCCAGCTCGACTGATTGAGCAAATATAAATGTGTTAAGTTTTCTGCTGTGAGTGATATAGTCAATTCTGTCTGAATCATGTAACATGTTATACTTGGGCTTACACTGTCGTAAAGTAAAGTACAGATTGTAGTGTAATCCCAAATATAACATATGTTACATTTACCACTTTCTAAATGGCATTGTGTTGATACACACTTGTAAAGTTGGTTTTTTTATCACATTTTAATCTTCTGATTCTGACAGTATACTAGGGTGTCAGGTTTCTATCTGATTGACGTTTCAAGATGACCCTTCCCCCCATCTCCCCACTCTACGTCTGAGTCCCTACTTCTGAGTGTACTTACTCTTGTCACATTTCAAAGCATCTTACTTTCAACATTTTCCAGTGAATAATGTTGAACATGACAAATTTCAAATCTGACAGGACAATTGGTATTCTTATCTTAGTTACTAGTTTCTGGCCATCATTTCCAGTTTCCAATATATATTACAATTCATCAATGTCAGTTGAAAGCCAAAGGATTTTACAAATGAATTCAATACAGACGTTAAACATCGGAATAATTTTTAACGATATTTGTACACCCAGCTGAAAATTTTACATAACCCCCAAAATGAAAGAGAAGGCCTTCAATATTGAAAACTGTAACGACCAGCTCCATAAACACTTCATATAGAGCAACATATTTAAACAATTTCTTAAAGAAAACACAAGAAATTTGAAAAATTGTAGACTTTCTTTTCACACATACACATATTTTACGAAAACATCAGTTAACCAAGAATAAACATAAGACACACAAACCTCTTTCTTTGGTACATTGCTGTTACTTTTTTCCAAAACGAATTTCAACACATTGGAGATGTGTATATCTTTCCAAGTTGGCCATGGGTTTTCATAGCAACCATTCCTGAAAACTGATCGTGTTAGGCCATCTTCAGGTGTGTCTGCTGTTGCCATAGCTCCCTCAGAGGTGGGCGTGTCCACTCTCTCGCTGCTTGAGTTATCTGCTGATGCCATTTTGGATGAGATTTTCAGAAATCTGCAAAGAATAAAAACCATATGGATCCAAACAATTCTTTAAGTGTAAACATGACAGAAAATTATGGGTTAATGGATCTTTTGATGATTAAGCATTAGTAATTTTTCTCAGACAGGTTAAAGTGAATTTCAACTCTGACCTCGGAAAATGGGCTTTAGTCTTAAAACATAATGAGACAGCTAATTAATGCTGCAACAACTTTTAAATTAGGAAATGGACAAATTTATGGATAGCAATCAATTTCTAAATAATTGTCTATAGAAACTTTTTAATGTTGATTCTTTCACCATTATGATGGTGGAGAGACTACAACCATTAGGAAATGGACAAATTTATGGATAGCAATCAATTTCTAAATAATTGTCTATAGAAACTTTTTAATGTTGATTCTTTCACCATTATGATGGTGGAGAGACTACAACCAGGTGATCAGAGGGACTGGGTATATGTGCATATTATGTTGTGATTAACATTGACAACAACAGGTAACAGATAACATGAAGCACACAAATAACTGGATGATGATAACATGATGATGATGATGATGATGATGATGATGATGATGATGATGATGATAACCAAATAACACACAGGTAAAGAAGCCAGATGTACAGATTTTGCCCTAAATATTTGGTGAATTAGTCAAAAACATATTCCGGTAAACTGAAAAATTAAGTTTACTTTCCCAAAACAGGCATGAAGTTTTATTACAAATTTTTAACAAATTTTAAAAAGGGCATTTTAAACAATTTATACTGACAGAGAAAGTAAATCTGTTGATTATATTTTAGCTTTTCATATTTTTGGTCAGCGAAAAAACAGCATAACTACCTTTTATTTTTAATCATTTTTACATCTGAATCTGTTTAGGACTGATTCATCAAATTTTAAATAAATCTGGCTTTAGAGGAGAAGACTGATATAGAGGCAACACAGACATATAGGTCAGACCAATCATTATCGAGTAAGGATGAGTAAGTTAAAAAAAGAACAAAATACTATGACTGAAGAAATATACTTATTTCAAACACTACTTCTTTATTGCAGACCACCATTGCTGGAATATTGCCTAGTGCTGTGATGAACAAGAAGCACACAAACAAGCAAACAGTAGCGCTGAACAATACGCTTGGTCATGATGCAAGTGATGATCAAAACTGGATACAAGAAACAAACCATAAATACTGTCTGGCTACTGAGCCATAGGGATTCTTGGTAAAAATGCATGTCTCTGACAACCAAGGCTTGGAATAAGAGGTGATTTTACTGATTTCAGAATCAGTAATGGCTGATAGTATGTTATTGTATCCAATAGTGTGGATCAATGCTCATGATATCAGTCACTGGATTGTCTGGTCCAGACTTGGTTATTTACAGGCAACAGTTTTATAGTTAAGATACTGCTGAGCATGGTTTTCAACATCAAACAAATGTTATGAAAATGTAATTAAAATACAGACAATAAACCATGTTGACAAGATGATCGAGAAAAAAGTCAGTCAACTCACTGCAAATACTTGATAATGCAGTGTGGAGCAATAATTCACTCACTCACACAGTGCACCAAATGTTCAGTGTGTCTACCTGTCATTAGAACTGTAATTTTGCACTGCCCACATCAAGACTTATTAAGTACATGTTGAGGAGAGAACAAATATCCCTTATTCTTTATGATTTATCGGTATCAGGCTCATTTTGGATCCAGTAAAAAAGTTTATTTTCCAATCATGAGCCCAGCAAGGGGCAAGTATAGGGACATTCTTAAAATGGTTGGTATGTAATATGAAACAAATAAAGGGTCCATGGCCCAAAATCAGAAAGTAATCGTAGATTTAAGAGTATCGTAACTCCTACTTTAACACAGACTTCTGAAGGGCATTTAAAAGTGGAATGCATAAGAAAAGCCAGATTTATGGATGTCAAGTTATGTATTGTGAATATCACAACATTTCGGAGTGTATGCTTGCTTCTTTATACTTATCACTCTTCATGCTTATACCTGATGAAGGAGCTAGCATACACTCCGAAATGTTGTCTTATTCACAACAAAGAAATTGACATCCATAAATCTTGCTTTTCTTAGTTGTAGTCTTACCATCGCTTCACAAAAAAAGCTCTAAATGAATTACAGTAATTCCTACTCATTGTGTTCTAACATTTTGGTCTAGAAATTGCTTGAACAAGACATAGAATTAGTCTGCCCTAAATATCACAGGACATGGACATGGAGGTGTATGTGGGCCAGGGCAACTCACAGGTAGGATCCAGCTACTGCTGCAGACACTCTAACAATGTTCATTATACTCATTCAGACTCATCGAGCCGACTCAAGCATAAACACTGGGGCAGTCAGCCACACCGATAATACACAGCGTCACAAAATGAATGGCAACATTCAACCCTGTAATAAACAAAAACAAATCAAAACAATACAATCATACAACAGTCAACAATAAATACAGCTTACTTCAACAACTGTACAACTGAGAATCTAAATATTATCATCTACAGGAAAAGTTCCTTGAGAGGCATTTTAGAAGTTGTATAGATGAAGGAAAACCAAGTTCTATGGATAGTCAACTTCTTCATAAAGAACTTCTTTGAGTGGCATTTTAGAAGTTGGGAAGTACAATATAGAACAAACTTTATGGATAACAACTTCTTTTTATTCGTGAGTGCGACGTTTCGATACAGATTCTTGTACCGTTGTCAAGCATAATGGGACATGAAGAGGGGGGAAGTGTATATATACTGGATGTGACAATGTGACAAAGAAAACAACATAATTAACATAATTGGCTAGGCAGAAGGCTGATGAAGCCAGAGAGTAGACAAAGGACAGGCGTAGAAGCCAATGATGTACAAATGATAATGACATGTTTATACAGCAGTGAGTTTATACAGTGGATTGGGCTTGGTGGATGAGTGCATCATGCTTGATGGAATGAAGTATCCTTGGTCTCGGTTGATGGTGGGCTTTGGCGTTTGATGTGGATGGCTTGGTTGAGCTTGCGTTTAGTGAAGTCTGTTTGTTTGTTAGAGAGAATGGTGATGTCAGACCACTCTATTTGATGATTGGGCTTGCTTTGATGTGGTCGGAAATGGCTGATTTGCTGTCGGAATTGGTAACAGAGGTCTGATGTTCTTTCACTTCGGGTGTGATGGGTCGGGAAGTTTTAGCCTATGTAGCTCTGCCCACAATCACAGTTTATTTTGTAGATGACACATTTTGGGTTGTTGTTCTTTACGGTGGCGGGTTTTCTTCCATTGGCATGGAGAATGTTGTTAAGGTTGGAGGAGGGCGGAGAAGGAGGTATCTATGCCAGCTTGATCTTTCAGGAGGCTGATTTGATGTGGCGGTTTGCCAATGTAGGGATGGATATCTTGATGGGGGCTAAATCTTGTTTGGGTCTTTTGGTAGGGGTGACAGGGTGGCAGCGATGGTTCTGTTGACTATTTGGGATGGAAAGTGGATTTGCGTTCTACGAAGACTTCTTGAGGTGTTCGATTTCATCTTGTAGTTTAGTTGAGCAGATGTTCTTGGCCCTTCTGGTTAGTGTGGAGATGATGCCGGTCTTAACTTTAGGTGGATGATTGGAGTTGTAGTGGATATACTGATCCATTATGGGTGGGTTTTTCTGTATACAGTGGTCTAGAGTTGGTTGCTGGAGGTCAGCGGGACACAAGGGGCGTCAAGGAAAGGTAGTTGCTGGTTCTGCTCGGTTTCCATGGTGAACTTGATCGCGGGGATGTTGGTTGTTGAGATGGGTGAGAAGCTGAGTGGGATCTTGCTGAGGTTGGAGGATGACGAAGGTGTCATCCACTTTGCGATACCAACATGTGGGTTTGAAGGGTGCACTCTCTGGCTTCATCAGCCTTCTGCCTAGCCAATTATGTTAATTATGTTGTTTTCTTTGTCACATTGTCACATCCAGTATATATACACTTCCCCCCTCTTCATGTCCCATTATGCTTGACAACGGTACAAGAATCTGTATCGAAACGTCGCACCCACGAATAAAAAGAAGTTGTTATCCATAAAGTTTGTTCTATATTCTTCATAAAGAAGTTGACTATCCATAGAACTTGGTTTTCCTACAGGAAAAGGTCTGAAATTCTTTTTCAGTACTTTTAATGACAACCTTTTTGGGGTCACGTCATGCTGACATGAGCCTTTATTTTCAGGTTGAGTTCAGTTAGCTTACATCTTTGTCAAGAGAAGACAGCCGTAGCACTGATTTATATAGATATTCAACCCAAAGAAAAGCAATAATTCACTCCACTCACTCACAGTGCACCAAATGTTCAGTGTGTCATTGCCCAACTACCTGTCATTAGAACTGTAATTTTGCACTGCCCACATCAAGACTTATTAAGTACATGTTGAGGAGAGAACAAATATCCCTTATTCTTTATGCTTTATCGGTATCAGGCTCATTTTGGATCCAGTAAAAAAGTTTATTTTCCAATCATGAGCCCAGCAAGGGGCAAGTATAGGGACATTCTTAAAATGGTAGGTATGTAATATGAAACAAATAAAGGGTCCATGGCCCAAAATCAGAAAGTAATCGTAGATTTAAGAGTATCGTAACTCCTACTTTAACACAGACTTCTGAAGGGCATTTAAAAGTGGAATGCATAAGAAAAGCCAGATTTATGGATGTCAAGTTATGTATTGTGAATATCACAACATTTCGGAGTGTATGCTTGCTTCTTCATACTTATCACTCTTCATGCTTATACCCGATGAAGGAGCTAGCATACACACCAAATGTTGTCTTATTCACAACAAAGAAATTGACATCCATAAATCTTGCTTTTCTTAGTTGTAGTCTTACCATCGCTTTACAAAAAAAGCTCTAAATGAATTACAGTAATTCCTACTCATTGTGTTCTAACATTTTGGTCTAGAAATTGCTTGAACAAGACATAGAATTAGTCTGCCCTAAATATCACAGGACATGGACATGGAGGTGTATGTGGGCCAGGGCAACTCACAGGTAGGATCCAGCTACTGCTGCAGACACTCTAACAATGTTCATTATACTCATTCAGACTCATCGAGCCGACTCAAGCATAAACACTGGGGCAGTCAGCCACACCGATAATACACAGCGTCACAAAATGAATGGCAACATTCAACCCTGTAATAAACAAAAACAAATCAAAACAATACAATCATACAACAGTCAACAATAAATACAGCTTACTTCAACAACTGTACAACTGAGAATCTAAAATTATCATCTACAGGAAAAGTTCCTTGAGAGGCATTTTAGAAGTTGTATAGATGAAGGAAAACCAAGTTCTATGGATAGTCAAATTCTTCATAAAGAAGTTGACTATCCATAGAACTTTTCCCAACAAAGGTTTTCTTTTCAGTACTAATGACAACCTTTTGGGGTCACAGGTCAGAAATTCTTGAGTTATTTAGTACTTTTTAATGACAACCTTTAGGTGACGCACATGCTGACATGGGCCTTTATTTTCAGGTTGAAGTTCAGTTGGCTTTACATCACTGTCAAGTGAGTGAGTGAGTTCCGCCTTGCTTTGAAATAGAACCTCTCAATATTCCAGCAATATCTATTTTTTGTGTATGGGGACACATTTTATTGAAATGAGCTTCACACATTTTACCATGTAGGGAATCGAACCCGGTCTTCGCATGACGAAGCACGTCATGCTTTAACCATCAGGTCAGGTTACCCACCGCCTCTTTGTCAAGAGAGGACAGCCTTAGCACTGATTTATATAGATATTCAACCCAAAGAAAACACAAATGTCAGTATAAGTTCTGAAATTAAGTTACAAATTCATGTTAATGCCTATATCTCACAGGTATAACCAATATGGTGGTTTCTAGAAATGTAGCATTATTTCACTTATTACACGGCCAGTAAAGAAGAACATACTTAGTATATTAGTATATTATTATGTCAATATATTGTGTTTTAATGTACAAGGTCCAGTGGAGTTTTTAAAATACACAATGTCAAATGGAGTTTTAGTAAACATTGTCAGAAGACCTCAGAATTTAAGAAAATAACTTCTACTTATGAACAAATGACTGTTTTACTGTTAGTTTGGCAAGGGCACTTAGTTAGGAATCCTTGATAAATCACTGCTTTGTCTTTACTGTTTTGGGAGCGGTGGGGTAGCCTCATGGTTAAGATGTTTACTCGTCATGCCAATGGTCTGGGTTCGTTTCCCCATATGGGCACAATGTTGTACTGTGTGCAATTGTCTGTCTCCAGTTCGCATTTAAGCTGACTTCCAATAGCACCAATGAAACACTCAAAACACGAGGCGGGTTGCTTGCTGCTTCTCCACATCAGGTGTAGACCTTTTATTTTCAAAACAGTTTCAGCGTACAGACTGCGCATGTCCAGTTGTATGCAAATTGGGTTGACACAAAACCATATAACCCAAAACGGAATGCGATTGATCAGGTCAAACACTACAAATGTGAAGCCCATTTCTGATCATATCCCCTTCAGTGATATTACTGGAACATTGCTAAAATTCAGCATTAAAACTAAACTCACTCACTCACTCTTTTCTGACTGTTTTGAAGTGTTCATGAAACCCATCATATATTTATTTGTCCTTCATCATGTCTGTTTATGTTGGCTGTGATTGCCACTTCAATAGGTGAAAACTGGCTTAACAGGTAAAATTTATGACTTTCAACCTTCCATGATATTACAGATAATGTTTAGAGCCAGGGTCGAAAAACCCTGACACTGTACTTTTGAATGACAATGATGGCAATGAAACCACCAACCTTCCACTTCCCTGGTAAACATAACATTCTATCCACTTGACTAATATGCGAACAAATGGGAGACTGTTGCACGTTAATGACCTTCACATGTGCCATGTGGCCAAAGAACAGATTTACTCTCAAACATATCCTAACAAGATCTAAATATATATTTGCGAGGACTCAAAACTGCAACCAGTGTATCAAAGGAAGAATAAATTAGTGCTGAGACAAAATTTGAAAAAAACATGTGGAAAGAAATCATAATGTAAGTAAAGGCAATGAGCGAAATAAATATTAGCAAATCAACAAAACAATTATTTATGTCACATGACTGAAACACATAACTGTTATATGATAATGAATGTATCAACATGGTTAATGAGAGTTTGTTATACATAAAGAAATGCCAATATGAATGACTCCCTATGATTCATATGTAAGACTTCTGATCGTTATAGCTATTTGAAGTAATTAAATTACATGTTGTTTTTATTAATTTAAAGCAATATGACATATAATTCAATGTGAGTTAAATCTTGTTAGGGTATGATTGAGTTAGGTTTCCCCAACCCACAAAACAATATGTCAGGAATGATAGATATTCAACAAATTACAATGTGACAACATTCACATCTGCACTT